ATCCTGCTGAAAGCCAGTCGTCACAAGCAAGAGATTTCTATTTTTTTAAACCTGAAATGAGATTATATTCCATGTGGGAGCTGCAAAAAACCTTGTGGAAGCAGCTAGCCTTAACTTTAAAAATCAAATGCTTTACTGAAGAGATCTTTTAAACCTTGCAGAATTTTTACAAGCTACCGCATTTTCTTTTTTCAGTTTTTCAGCACTGTGAAAGAGTCTCTTACATTTTTAATAGAAAAGAAAAACAAGAACAGGTTGAAAGTATATGCTGAGCACTGAGAACACCTGCAATTCAACCCTTCTTTTGGTATATGCTAGCTCAAAGACAGCTCATAATTTTCAAAGTGTTTCTTCAGAAGAAACTGTTGCTGTTGGAGTTAAAAGACTGTTATTTAGAAGTGTTTGGGGATTTTTCCCTAGTTCTGAAATTCAGCTTATTTTTTTGTGACTAAAAATGCTAAATTTGGAAAAAGACATGATCAGCTGCTGAACACTTTCTATTCTTTCATCTAACACTGCCCCATCTTGCAAACTTTTCTTATTCTTCTTATGTCATTATTTGAATTCAGTTAGGATTTAGAATGAGTCAAGGAACCAAACTGAGCTCAATGTCTGCTGGGTTAGCAACACTCATATTAAGACTTGGTTAAGAATTTAGAGACTCAGAATTTATTCTCCACAGTGCTGACTTTTTTTTTTGTCAAAACTGTGTTACAGGAATGAACCCCCATGAAGAGTTTTCACAAATGTACACATAGAGAATCTAGTGGATCTTTTGGTCAAAAGAAGTAGGATATAGATATTTCCTACCCAACTCCTAAAATTTAGGAAATAAATTTGCATGCACCCGCCCACACCTCCATTATGCACTTTAGTCATGAATCTACTTCACAGGTGATTTTCTTGTATGAATTGTTGCTTCGAGGAAATGGCACAAATTATTTCTGATAGAGATTCATTAAGTTGGTGTGTACTGATGGATATTCCCTATCTAACGAGTTCTGTGCCAAGCCTTTCTTATGGTATAATCTATGAGATGGCAGACACACACACACACACACACACACTGACAGCTGATGTTGTGTAGGATGGATTGTACCAGTTGGAAATTGTGCCAAAATTTCAGATTTAACACAATAAGGTGTAAAGCCAAAGGCCATGAGTTTATGTCTCACTCTCCTCAAAGCATTTTCTTGTTCTAATTTAATTTCTTCCACAGCTTGCAGTAAAATATTGTAGTTTATTTCAGGTATGATCATTCCTAAGCTGGCAATCACTGCTGTGATCACACATAACAGTACAAATTCTTATAACAATAGCCATAATGATTTAGAATATGGTAGAGGTTTTCCACATTTACATGATTGCTTAAATATTTTTATGATGCTGTACAGTAATTTCATTCTTTTTTATTTCTATTCTGTTTCAGCAAAATTAAAGTATATGCATGTTCAAAGTGCTATTAAACACAAAGGAATAGGAGATTCATTTTGAGTTTATATTCTATCAATAGGCATATTTAAATCTGACAAGAGCTCTTACTTTAATTTAATGTTTGTTCACTACCTATATTTTAATAGCTCCTCTGGAGTTCTGCTAGGGAGACAGAGAAATCAGGGTGTGTTCCATATTATGGATCTTTAATGGTCTATAAATTGTTCATAGCATTATATAAAGTGAAAAAAAGTCACAGTGAGTTTCTTAGAAAAATAAATTTCACAGTAAACCACACCTTCACATTTTACAGATCTCAACTATTCTATTGTTATTATTTTAATAAAAATTATTATTTAACTGTAAAATTTTGAAAATGTGTGTTGCAATTTTGTGTTCTAAACCAAAGAAAACCAGCGGAGACGATGTCTTTTGATGATAAACACTGACTGTTCAGCATTGACAGCATCTCGGAATTTTCTGCCAAGAGAGTTAAGCTGCTGGCTCAACTACAGCTTTTCTTTTGAGCCTTTGGACAGATAAACACATAATCTTGGACCCCTGAAAGATCTGAGCAGCTAAAACTAAAATATTGACTTTCAAAGCTACCACTTGTCATCTTGCTCTGGATTAATGTAATTCCTCCAGGCATGAGAGGCTCCCAAAGGTACATCTGACTCGGTTGCAAAGTCATTGGCTCTCCCAGGCCCTGTGAGCAAGGAATTATTTTGGTATAGAGAGTGGAACAGTTTTGGAAGTGAGAAAGGGGAATCTCATTTGAAATACCTCCTGCCTTGATGTACAGGCACACTAGGTCAGGCCTCCTTTCCTGAATTTTCTAGAAGATATGAAGCCAAGTGAGTTTCCTGGACTGAAGGAAGAACATTACTGTGACTCCTGACTGGATGGATGCACCATCCTCCCGTCCAAATTACAGGTCCATGCAATGTATTTCTTCTCAACCACTTTGGCTTTATTTCCTAGTTGCACTCAGTGCAGACTTTCCAAGGTTAAGTTATGCAAAGATGAGCTTACATCTTGGCATTGTTTTCTGTCTCTCTTTGTACCCATTTTCAAAATTAGAAGACTGTTTCTTCGTTTTATAGGGCATATGGAATGCCAAATAAACATGGAACTGGGAGGAGATGCTCCAAGGAGGTCTCAGTGGACTCAGAATATCCAACCTCAAGAAACAAAGCTCCATCAAAGATCTGGCAAACCTAGCTGTGAGTCTTCCATATCTCAACTCACTATTTCTAATTCATTGCAATGACTTCTGACACCATGGAAGCTCTGGAAAACTGGTAATTATGTCATATTGATTCATTTTCATTTTAGGAAGGTCTGCTCAAATTTATACTCTTTCTCAAAAAAAATATTTATCTTAAACTATCATTTTTTTAAAAATATTTGTTTCCATGGGAAATTTAAAGCACTACTTTTATCCTGAAATAAAAACTTGTTCAAAATATCCTCAATTCCCATGAAACAAAACTGAATTTCAGCCAGTTTTGATCTAAACAGTGAAGCCTTTTCCAGCATCAGAGTCTAATTTTAAGGAGCTATTAAAATACTGAAGCCTTGTTGTGATAAATATCAGTGTGTACAGGGAATTTCAGTAGCAAATTTTTAATCTGTTTTATAGAAATGCTCACAAGGTCATAGTAATTCTACTATAAAAAGAAACATGAACAGTCTACCTCAGTTTTTATTTAACCTCAAGGTCCTTAAGGGTTTTTGTGCCAAGCAGCCTTATATCACTAACACTTGATTTTGTGAAATTGCTTCAAAATCAAGACACAATGAAATAACCTCAAACATCCACAAACTGATTTAAGCCCAGTATATCTACATATTCTGCAGTTCTCTCCCTCTGAATTACTGTGCCTCATTCAAATTTTAACAAAAAAGAACATTGAAAATGAATTAATTTAAAGGAGAATATTTCTGTTTACACCATTGATCACTGATTTTGATTTGGTCACTTAAAATAATCCCCTTTTCCTCCTTGCTTAGCCATTTGATCCCATTAGAGTTATTCTTATCATTTATACATTTAGGATAAAATATAGAATAGTACTTAGGCATCTAGATTGTCAGCTATGCAGGCCAGATGAGTAAAATGAGTCAAAAAACTCTGCTTAGACTAACAAGATGAAAGGTTCCCCAGACTCTCAGCCTTATGCTGCCTTGCATGTCCAGAAGTGCTGCCTCAGTATTCGTCTTCCACACAAAGCTGCTCAAGATTTCCAGGCTGAGGCATCAATCTTTCAGTTTTGAGTCATTACTCCTTGTTCTATCTTTCCATGCCCTCGTGAACTGTCCCTGTCCAGATCTCCTGTAGCCCCTTTAGGTACTGAAAAGCTGCTGTGAGGTTTCTCCAGATCCCTCTCGTCTCCAGGCTGAGCAACCCAACCACCTCAGCCTCTTCACAGGAGAGGTACTCCAGTCCTCTGAGCATCTTCATGGCTCTCCTTTGGACTTGCTCCAACAGGTCCATGTCCTTCCTATGTTGAGGGCCCCAGAGCTTCTAAGGCTCTGGATGAACAAGACTGTTAGAAATAGGGTGCTTTGTCAAGGACTTATGTGTAACAAATCGTTTGGGTGCATGTTGGCAGTATAAACATAGCACTGAGCTGATATATTTGGGATGATCTATATTCACAAGAACATATTGCTAAGAACCTCAGTAAGATACTCCTCCTTTCCCACTTGGAGAATGGATGGACTTCAAAACTTAAAAGACCATGGAAAAAAAAAATTGTGGTTGTTCTAATCTACAGCTAATATTTAAAATAGTGTCCTGGAGAATGAACAGAAAAGGATTTGTGTTGTGCGTGCAGAACTGTGAATTTGTGTTGCTTTAGTTACAATGTAAGATGCAACCAAAAGTATGTATTCTATCAGGATCTTCACAAGCTGTTAAAGCAGGTGGGGCAGTGTTTATCTGCTCCATGACACATTCCAATAACTTCCTCTGGGGACTGTCTTCTATTAATGGGCCATCAAGTCTCACTGCATGACTGATAAAATGACATCATCCCTCTGTGAGATGCGCCATGCAGGGGGAGGAACCAACACTTCCTACCTGGCTATAACCTAAGGCTTGGAACACCATGAGCAGCAGTACCCAGTGGATTCCAGAAGAGAAGAGCTCCATAATCACCACTGGATGTCCAGAAAAGGATCAGACTTTACTACAGGATCATTACTTTGACAGAATCACATCCATCACTCCAACAGGACTGCAGCCACCATTTGATCAGACTGCTACCACAGCCCTGACCTACAGAGTGTCAGGTCATATTCTGACTGTCAGCTGAAGCCAGTGTTTCTGTTTTATTGCCTTTATCTTAATTTTCCCATTAAGTTGTAATTCTGACTTGGGGATCTCCCATTGGTTTGCTTTACATATATAAATATGTACTCATTTTAAAGTATAAATATATATAGTATATATATGAGTATATATATATATAAGTATAATAACTATATATATACATATATATAAAATATATAAATATAAGTATATATAAATGTAATATTCCTAGTACTGGGATGTAATGCAGACTTCATGCTGCCTTTGACATTCTGCATGTCATAACTGCCCTACATAGATTTCAGTGCCAGTTGTCATTGTTCCTTGGTGTCATAAATGCATGTATTCTAGCATATTTAACTTCTAATATTTATCCCATTAATTTCCTAATTCTTATTTATTTACATTGGATCTGAATGTGTATATAAATAGTTATCCATTTAATTATGGCAGCTTTGTAAGGCACCACGTATTTAACAGTTGTTCACTCAAAAGGCAAGGGAGTGAATCTGGGTTTGCATTGTGTGTAGAGCCTTCTGGCCCTGAGTATTAAATTCCAGTATAATGAGGACCTTGTGCTGGTTGTATACCAGACAGGGATTCAGCTCATTCTGCCAGAGATCTGGCAGCAATGTAAGACTAAGCAGCAGCTGCCAAAAATTACTTGGTATTGTGTAAGCCCTTGTGCTGTACAGTTTGAGAGTTGAAAGGGTTCATGTGCAAGAGCATAATCTGCAAATGAAACATATATAATAGAGCCACATTTGTAATAATAATGTGCTGTGTATCCCTTTGTGCCTGCATGGCATAAAACATGATGAGTCCATATAAGCACTTTGGGATTAATCATATGGTGAAAAGCATTTTTTGCTCACTATATGATACTTTTGTCTGTGGAGAGGAAGAAATGCTATTTGAGCCTCAAGGAAGAAGAAGCTGAGGTTAGACCCTGCAAAGGTTGGCAATTTCCACTGGACCTCCTCTTTTTTTTCTTTATTTTTTTAAACTGCCAAATGGATCTGAAAGTGTTGAGGGTGAAAGTCATTTTGGGGAAGCTTAGTGGAAGGAGTGGTTAAGAACAGATTTCACTTTAATTTCTGAGTAACAGCAATGAAAGGACTTTTCGAAATTACACCAATGATAACCTCAATATTCTTTAACTGAAGAAAAAGTTCCATTTATTTTAAAGCCTTTTCCAATGTAATTCCTGTTATCTTTGAATAGAAGTGGATCTAATTAGCTGCTCTTAGAGAAGTACTTGACACAATGATTGCTTATGTACCCTGTTCACTTATTCAACCTTTCTCCAGAAAACAAGACATAGGTCATTTTAACAAAGTTCTATAATATTATGAGTTTAACCCCTTTGCAGTGTATGCTATGAATTTCAGGAGTTTTTGTGAACATGAAAGCACAAGCTTGATTAATTCTGTATTTACTCTTCAAGATGGTTAGCCTGATTAGAAGACAGCCTAAGAAACCAAGATGGTCTTTTAAAATGAAATTTAAATAATTTTTGTGCCCTGACGATTCTCTTCCCCTTGAAGCATCTCAAGAGGATAAAATGGAGGGTGACAGCACTGAGGGAAATTAAACAGATGACGACTATTTGTAGACAAATTGCAGACATGCTAATCTTGTTAATTTACAGTAAAACCTAACACTTATCCAGACCTCTGCCATGACAAAAAGCAGCAAAAGGGAGGCATTTCTAATTTCTCAAGTGCACTTCAGATTAAATTATGTTCTGCTACATTCACTGAGGAATCCTATTAACGCCTATTTGCAATTGCAATCCTTGGGTCAAATTTGGCTCTGTTTTTTTTCTGGTGAGATTAGATCATTGTGTTAGTTTATTTGCTTGTGCTTCTTCCCATCCTCTGTCAATTGCTCTCTTTCTCACAAATGTTGCCAGTACCATAATCATCATCATTATACAAATTATGCAGAAGGACCCTGTGCTTGCATATTCTTACCATCTTCTGCCGCATTAGAGTGAAACAATGTCAAAACAAATTTCACTCATTGCTCCCTGACAAGTACACATAATCTAAACTAGTCCTTGTAAGCCATGCTGGCAGCAAGAATTTGTAGGTAATTGGTATAGATACATATCACCTAATTTTAGCTATCCAGAATGAAGTATCTTGTTCCAGCTGCTCATCTGGATTCACTTGAAAGTCGACAGACAGTCTAGCACCTCCAGAGTGTGATTCTTCTCTGTGATTTTAGACATCTGTCTAGGGCTGAGATGTACCATCCACACCATTCCAAAGTTTCACCATTTCAAAGGCATCTGGTCACAGATGAAGCCTCACTCCAGGATTCCAGGCTGGTGAGAGCTGTGCAGAGATAAGTGTCTGTGCCAGATATGCCCCCTGGAGTCACAACAGTGCACAGTTTCGTGCCATTTTAAAGGCGTTCTTGTCATTCACACATATGAATAAACTAATCAGCCTTTCTCAAAGGTCACAGAAAACTGTTTGGGGTCTGACAAACTAGCACTAACAGGAGCTCAATCCAAACACAGGGCTCCAGGTAACATCCACCAGGATTGTGTCATATTCTACCCTATTTTAAAATCATCACTATGCAGACCACACAGCACAGGTTTGTACAAAAACAACTTACATATCCTGACAGAGGGACTCCACGTGTTCCATGGGATTCTCTTTCCTAAAGACAACAGACGGTCATTTTAAGCCTTCAGCAAAAGCAGAAAAATTATATACTCCCTGAGTTTTTCCAATACAAAATAAGAGTCAAACCAAGAAATAAATATTTCCCATTTGTTTTAGCAGGTAGCACACAGCTGCAGTTAAGTCTTTGGCATTTGGCATTCTCAGACATTTACCATCATATACTGTCCGAGGGAAAGAAATTTCTTTTAATGAGCACTCAGAATTTTTGCTAGCTGCCAACAGTATTATTTTAACTGGCTGTTGGAACAGAGGGTGAGAATGGACTGCACTTGTGTAGGAAGTCATTAATTGTTCAGACCATATCTTGTTGTGGATTTCTCTATGTAACATGAAAGCAATTTTGAGCAGTGACTTAGAATAATTACCACTGTGAAGAACTATTTTGCACAATTTATTACTGAAGGGCAGATTTAGTATTGGAGAAGAATGACAAATGAATAAACATGTAGTTGAAGTACTATGAAGTGTGGAAGTGGATTAGCATTAAATAAATTTGAAATCAAGACTAACAAATACAAACCTCCTTAGAGCCAGAATAGAAATGTAATATAGCCATTCTCAAGTAAGGCTGAGGATTAAATGATGAAATATTTGACAGAAGCTAATGAGCCATCATCATAAGCAATAGGGTGTTAAAATGAAAAAAGGGAATTGCTATGAATCCCATTTTTTCTGATTAATTTTTAGATTTTTCTGAGTACATTTTTTTCCCACATGCATATGAATCCTGAACTACTACTTTCTTGCCAATTTGGAGCTGCAACTAATGACTTGTGACCATATAATGAGTTGTAACATTTAGCTCAGATTCTGTGATCCCAAATATACTTAAAAGTTTTGATATTTTTGTTCTACATGTGGCAGTGCAAAGAAGATGTCCTCCTAGTCACAGAGAGCTAGAAAAATAGTCATTATTTTGAGAATTCATTCCACAACTCTCTCTTTTCCTCCTCTGTGGGAAGGAAAACAGAGCTTGTACTCACAGACTTCTCATAAGCCCTGCACCCTTAGTTCTCAGCAGGGGAATGAGCACCTGAAATCCTCCCTACAAAGGCAGTGCAGCGTGGTGCTTGGGAGGGTGACCCAGGTGACCTGCCTGCTGCTGATTATGTTCTTTTATGCCAAGCAGGCTGAAGTCATGAGGAAAAGCTGTTTCAAAAGCCATCATCATTGATTTCTCTCTGCTGCTGCTGAGGTCAATGAGTTAGTGTTATCATGATCCTTACCCATAAATATCGATGTGAAAACTCTCATTGACTCCAACATAAGTGAGGACAGGGCAATACTCTTGGAAATCCCATCTGCTGCATTGCAGTTTGCTGCTCCAGAAAAAAAAAGGCAATGACTATGCATGATGTATTATGAAGGCTGAAATACTGGTACTTCAAAGAGTGCTTAATTAGTTCAGATAGGTCATAGGCCCTCAGAAAGTACCAGTTGTTTCGAAGTTTTTATTCCCTACTGATGCCATTTTTTCCCCAACTGACAGATGGAAAATGTGCTTGCAGTGACCTTGTCTGGAATTTTTTTTAGCATTTGCAGAGAAGTCAGAAACAGGAGTAACAAATTCCTTCAGTAATTTGAAAAACGTACATCTATCTACTAGGCAATCTATGCCATCACCTGATTTTGAAATAAGTTCCTATTAATAAGCTATTCCATCTATAAATAATTATCATCAGGAAATCAGTTTTGAGATTGCTACAGTGCACAAGATTAAACATTCTATCACATGTTTGGGGCTTTTTTTTTCCTGTGGTCATAAACTTTTTTCAGTAGTATCCTGAATTCAGGACACAACTAGGAAGAATCATTATTGTTATTTCTAAGTGAAAGGCAAGACAATTTATTTTTCTGTTTTGTTCTCAGTTCAAGACAATTTTTCTTGACTCTGTTAGTTCTTAACTACCACTGTTTTTCTTGTACTCTGAGCAGTTGAACAGAACATACCTACTCATACCTGTCAATCCAGCAAAACTGAGAACTACATTCTTTATTAAAAGATGGCAACAATCAATAACAAATTAAAGAACACAGCTATAAATTATTCATGACAGTAAATCCCAATAAGTGAAGTATGTCATATGATGCAGAACATTAAAAATTTGCATTGCTTGCCATATCCAGATCAATATTAAAGAGATTGTTAAATTGAGATCAGGGAAAACAGCAAACATGGGAAAAAAAAAATCAAAAGTGAACCACAACCTAAAATCCATAAATCAGTCAGTCATACATAATTAAGGTGAACAACTTTTCCTTTTGTAAAATATACAATACATTTAAAGAGCAGCATTTGTTTGGATAAAATGTCAAAACTTACACTATGCAATTCTCTTGGTTTGAAGTTTAGTGGTTCAGTACATTGCAATCAGATGAAAGCTCAGAACCACACTTTTAGCTGATGTAAACCTATTTAAGTCCATTAAAGCTGTTGGTGATGCAGTATGTTAATCTCCCTGAATCTGGCCAGTTCATTTGATCAGGAATGAAACAGTAAGTAAACACTTGAACAATACTTTGGCCTTCCCCACACTCTGCTAAAGTTGATGCAAATTCTCCTACCTGCTTTGAATCAGGCCTCCTGTTGTGATTTTATTCTCAGATCTAGAAATTTAGAGAACATAGCTCTACAACAAAATACAGAAAAAAAATCTGTCATGAACTTTTCTCAACCTGCTCTAAAAACAATAGGCTGTGTGAATGATGGGCTTTTTTCACTAGGTAAGAGTTTATGGGGTTCTACATCCCAAAAGAATGATGCCCAATCGCTCCTGAACATTGACTGCACACCTCCAAGCATGGATATTCTGAATACACGGTGACAGAACAGATTCTGATTGCCCCAGAAAGGCGAGGACAATGTAATTATAGTTGTAGCAGTGCAGATCTCCCATCCACAGCCTCTCATGTGGTGGCTGATGAGGTGTTGACTCCCAGCACAGGCAGAGGCAGTGGTGGTGAGCTCTGACAGATGCACCACATAATTCCAAGGGTCTGCTGCACATCTCTGGGTGATTCCAAATAGGCAAACAGCCAAGACACTGCACACTATCTCCCTGGGAGAAATCTGTTGACTTGCCAGCACAATAAATGTGTTAAGCATCATTAGCAAGATTCTTAATTACCTATTTTGAATTAAGTAGTGGCACATGCTATTTACTGCTGCAGAAGAAAAAAGTGATAATTTCTTTGCAGACAAAGAACTGTGCCTATGAAGTTATTCTAGCACTGAAGCCAAGGTAAAAGTAGATGTAAGTTATATTATAAATTGAATCTGAATTCTGCAACTGATAATATTTTCTAACTTGGTGAGTAATGAAAATTCATACTGAATTTTCTGCAAAAATTATTTGAACTGAGACACCCAATTCTTTCTGAAATGAATGGCAATACTGTTTGCAGTGCCCAGAGCAGATTGTGAGAACTTTATCAGTGATCTTTTTTGATGCAATGGCTTCTGTTCTAGTCAAAGGCAATAATGAAAAGTTGTGTTTCATTTGCTTTCTGACAACAATGTCTAAACTGCTTCTGTCGATGCAGAGTGACCAAACACATTTTCTCCAGCACATGTAGTTCCCTCTTCCTCTTAACACTTTTGTCCAACCTGATCTATTTTCTGCTTAAATACACAATTTAATAACAGACTGCATTATATGGAAAAAGGCACTCATGCATATAACATACCAGTACTGTTTCTTAGCATGGTCCAGGCCTCGGATGTATCATTAACAATCACCTCCATATTACTGAATATAGAAAATTATTTCTTCATTTCAGCTACAGGACAGAATAAGTAAATTTTCAGCAGTATATTGTAAAGATACACTAGTTTGTAAGGAGAGCATTTTGCTCTGTTAAAACTACAAATACACTGGATGAATGTGAGACTATTTGCATTTTTTTTATTATTATTATTTTTATTTGAGGTTTCTGCTTAGATGGGGTATTTCCAGTTTGCTCTATTTCATCTCTTCTGTATATGCAAATTCAAGAGACCATAAAATTGAAACCAGACTATGGTCAAGCTTATGCTTTACAATAGACTTTCTAAATGGACAATATCCTGCTTTGTTCTCATAAACATTAAAAGCATTGACTTAAATAAAATGATATCATCATCATCATCTAAAAATGTTTTTCCACCAGCACCCAGCATGATCAGTTTAACACCCACTGTCATCCTCAGAGCCTTGTCTATTCATGCCAGGTGGAAGTGAGAGATACTTCTCAAATTGTTCTACTTTCTATTCAAATCCTCACAGTGCACCCATTTCTGCTGGAATGGAATTAATGTTCTGACAGCAATGGCAATAAAGGTTCCAACTTGGGACCAAATATTATCTCACCTATAAAGAACTACTGGAGTATTTCAGAGGGAATATGGCCTTTGCTAGAAAGTTATGATCTAACAGCAATTTTTCCACTAACCAGTAAGAAGGAAAGCTTTCAGATGTTTTGGGGTTTTGGAGAAAGCACATTCAAAACAACAGTCTGATTGTACCCCTTATCTTACATCTATTACTATTATTATTATCATCATCATATTCCAGTTATTAAACTGCTCTTATTTCAACCCACGAGTTTTATTTTGTTTTCCAATTCTCCTCCTCATCCAGCCAGGGCAGGGATGGTGGTGGGTGTATGAGAGCAGCTGTGTTTAAGTTCCCTATTGGGATTAAACCATGACAGCCACACTACTGACAAACCTTAGATTTAGACATGCTTCTATTGTATGTATTTAGTTGAGTGGGGCTTCAGTGCATTCAAGAAGTGCTCAGAACCAGGATGAGTCCATTTTCATCAAGGATCTGCAGAAAACAGACTGCAGGCTCAAGCTGCAAAAAAAGATGAATAAGTTAAACTCTTCAGAAAATACAGTGTTCAAGGAAGTTTAAAAAATATTGAAGTTTAAGTATGAAATATTATGCTGTGCTCAGGAAAATTTCCTCCAGAAATGGGAAAATACTGAACAGGTTGGGGGTGTTTATCAAGCATCCTCATCAAAATCATCACCAGATTTGCAGTGGGTTTTTTGCCAGCAACATCTCCCTCTCTCTGTTCTTTCAGTTGTCAGGGCCATAACTTTGAAATTATTGCATAATCTTAAACAGATGACTTCACATAAGGCCTTTCAGGCAGTGCTGGTGACACAGAGCTCACCATGAGGTCAGGATTCATCATGAAATGTAAATGTATCTCTTAAAGATGGACGGATATGGCAAGCAGCAGTAACACAAGCACAAAAAAAAAAAAAAAAAAAAGAAAAACATTCAATTTGTGAGGAAGGCAGGAGGAGCTGTGTGTTCCCCCAACCAAACATGTTTCACCAGCAGGTGCTGGATTGTCAAAAGCATGAGCCACTTCAGCTGGCAGAGTACCCTGATAAAATCAACTTCTTTATAGCTGTGGATCTCTAATGAACTGTTTCCTCAATTCCATAGCAAGAATGATCAGTGTGCCATAGGAATTTTGTCAAAAGCACACCTAGAGAGTGTGATAGCAGCACTGTTGTGCTTTATGAGATCCTGAATGTCTTTGACCTTAAGAGTAGGCCCTAAGAAGGATAAGTTAGGAAAGGAGAATTAATTAACCACCCCCTCTGTTATTTTGGACTCTATGAGACTTCTCAGCATTCCAATTCAGCAATGAGACAGGAATGCTTCACGTTTTCACCTTTCTTTTTTCTTTCCCCTCATATTTCAAGTCAAATGGTGACTACTGGGTGGTGGGGGCTGAGCGAGGTTTTACAGCGCAGCATGTGGCTTGAGCTAGCCCAGGTGAAGCAAAGGCAAGGACAGCTGGGTCTGGTGGCCACAGCTGCAGAAACAGCCAGGTTTGAGCCCGTGTAATAACTTACATTGGGCTAGGGGCCACACCTGTGGCAGTTTCTCTCTGCTGTGCTGGGATTTATTGTGACAGAAGCCAGGGTTAGTGTTATCTCACCCTGCTGCTGGAACGATGATTCTGTGCTTTACCTTGACATTTCTTGATGCAATGCTCTCTCTCCCTCTGTGAGGGTCAGTGTTTGCAGGGTTTCTGTTTCTGTAGGAACTTTGCCAGCATCTGGCAGGTAGGCCCTGCAATATGTACCTCTGCATGGTGAAAAAAGCCAGCCACAAAACCACCACGGGACATAAGAAAGATCAGAGGAACACTGGTCCTCCTTTTCCTGGCTGAAATACAATGTCTACTCATAGAAACAATAATAAAATACCCTCCAAACAAATAGGAAACACAACAAAAAAGTCCCTGTACTGTTTCAGAATTATCCCAGGAAGAGACAAAACCAGTCTTAGAACTGCCCTTTGCCTGCTTCTGCTTTGCTGCTGCAGTGTATTGTTAAAGTTGTGGCAAATAAAAATTCTGTCCCCTCTTGTCCAGGCAGGAGACAGCGGTGCCAGCCCTGGGAAAAGGGCACAGAGCAAAGGCATGGAGAATGCAAGGGAGCAGACCCTGGAGCCCACACAGCTCATCTGAGGGTGGCCAATAAATCCTTCCCTTCTTTACTCACTCTTGCAGGCTTGACAATCACAGCCTCACTATCAGTGATCCACCACATTGTGATCATTGCTAGAGATATAAAACCTGGATGGAAAGGGAGTTGGTTTTTTTGTTTGTAAATGTAGACATCTATTATTTTACTAAATTTTACCTCACCAGGAAACATATCTCAGTCCTCTTACACCTTTGGTGCAAAAAGAATTCATTATGCCACTTACACTATTTCACTTTTTATGGAGATTTACTGACAAGCTGAAACACAAAGCAAGAGTGGTCCTAATGTCCTGATGATGTGACAGGAACAATAAAAAACTGAGCAAATAAATATGAATAATTCCAGGTTTTGGTAAAAACAGGAGACACAGTGCAGGGAATTTTGACAGCAAATACCTTCTAAGACTGTTTTGTTTCTTTCTTTTTTTTTTTTTAATCACTATTAGTTTAATCAGCTGATCAGGATTTCCTGAAAAGTCTAATTTAAGATGTTCTGATTTATTTATAAATATGTCATGGCACAAAGATTTATGAGTTCATTTTTAAAAATAAATTAGACTCTAAAGGTTGCATAACAAAGGGAAGCAATGAACATCTGTGGCATCATGGTGCCACATAAAAACACTCTTTGGGGGATTTGCTGCTTACAGACACCAGCTTAGCGACAATGCCAATGCCCTCTGGTTTCCTTAACTTTGACAGATGACCAGAATCACCCAATAGCCTTAATTCTGAAATACAGCTCATTTATTTAGTCATATACACTCTGTCTAACTAATGGATAAAAACATAAATATATATGAACTAAAATTTAAAACAAGCTTTTGAATACTGAAACTTTAATCCATCTAATTGTTGAGCTTAGCATGGAACAATGATCAAAATTTGGATTTGCAGAAAATAAATCCCCAGACTAACTTTCCTGTTCTTTAGGCATCATCAAACAATCCTCTGCATACACAGTTAAAAGTAATTTCTAGCCAGGTATTTGTTATTACCTCAGTGTTAAAAAAAAAACAAAAACAACCAAAAAACAACCAAAAAATCCCTCTGTTTATTTAAGAGTGTCCCGTTACCTCTGCTTACCCTGGAGGTGACTTTGGTCTAATTTAGGTGACTTAGAAGAAAAAAGCAATGAGCAGCACAGACACAGTCCTGTCAGGTATTTCAAGTGTGGCACCATAATTGCTGGCCAAACAAGGTGCAGCTGGAGGTGACTTCCATAGCTTTAAAAGCTACATCCAAAGGACAATGTCTGGCTTCAATCACATAAATGTGTTATCCACAGTGATCCAAATATGTTCTCATATTTATGCATAAACTTTTGGAGTTGTCTGATTTTGTCTGTCAGTAGTGTTTGGTTTAATTCTTGTAAATATGAAGAACATATATCTAAAAGTAACTATGTTTAATTTTATTTTTCTTCATATTTAAGGGGTTATACTTAAAATATATTATTCAAGAACATTTATAAGTGTTTCTGCTACCTTTGAATATTACACAATTCCACAACAATAAAAATTTAATGGAACTATGAATTACAATTAATTGTGCTTAGACAGTTCTTTTATTTATCAGAAATATTTTTTTAAAAACACTTCTGCAGTAGCCTATAAGTCTTATTTAGAGTTGTGAATTCTTTTTTGCCAATGCATTTCCATATTTTGCTTCAAGTTTGATGATTTACTATTGGGTATTTTTTCACTTTAAGAGTATAACTGAAGCTTGTTCAATTTTTTTTTTTTACATTTCACTGCTGTAGATCTCTAATTTTGCTGGCTTTAAAGTTGTAATGTTACGATTCCTCACTTTTATGACTATTAATAGAAATAGAAAATGCATCAGATGATATAAAAAATAAAATATTTTGTGGAAAAACCTTTTTTAATGAAGATTAAGCTGGTCTTGGAATGATTGCTTTTGGGAAATAATTGATATTACAAAAGTAGACATCAAGTAAGAAAATATAATTTAAATTACACCCAGTGATTACAGTCCTTATCAACTTCTAAGAGCTAATTTCTAGTATTACTTTAAACTTTATATTCAATTTGCAATGCCTGTTTCTCCACTGGCCAAGAGTCATGCAAGCCACAATGTGAGCTGGAGTAAATCAGCACAGGTTGACTGAAATCTGTTTTCACCAGCTAATGAGCAACACCACTTTTGCAGGGAACATTGTCTTGTACCAACATCTATTTTACCTATGCAGCCCTGGGAAGTATTTTTTTCATAGACACAGATGAAACCTACGACTTTTAAATAGTACTGAAAACAATCCTTGTTGTTTTACAAGCACCAAATGTTCCTGCCCAGCTGATGGACTCCACTATCCATGCTGAAGAGATTTTCAGAATCGTTTCTCCCCTCCTAGGTTTTATTCTGAAGCTGGCCTGAGCTAGTTTAGAAGACGTGGTCATCCGAAAGTTGTTCCATCTGAAAAGTGATGTTAGCAGGTTTTCATTCCAAACCAATGCTTCAACAAACTGAGGGTATAGCAAACCTTGTTAGACACCAGGCCAGGGATTTCAGGGCATTCTCCTCACATGTCCAGGCAGGCAGACACTCCAGGTTTTGCCACAGTAGGGACCCAGCTGGGGCAGAGAGCTCCTGACACAGCAATACCAAAGCTGCTGTTAATGAAGTAATTTTCCAATGAAGAAACTGAAAGTTCTCCTCTTCAGGAAAGTTCATCTACCACCTTTCAGGAGCACAGAACTCATTAATATGTATCTTCCATTCCTAAAACCTTGTCTCCAGCTTAAAAAGCCCCTCTTACACATAGTGTTTGTAGCTATAGCTATTCATATCTCCTTTTCATCTTCCCTGCTTCCTGGGGTCTTAAACATGAAGAAAATTACTCCATTGCATTTGCACATCCATAAGTGGCAATAAACCTTTTAAAATATAAACACCACTGTGGATTTGCATGTTTTTTGAGAGAAAATATGATGGGAGAACTTTGGAACCCAGCAAATTTTTCACTAGTTTGTTTAAACATATAATGTAGCTTTCATTCTCTGTTTATGTCATAATTTTTGTCAATCCAACAAGGCACTGAAGCTCAGGCCCAACTTTAAATTTGTGCCTATTCTTGCGGCCTTCACTGAAACTTAGCTAGAACCCAGGCAGAGAACAGAATGGGACTCTGGGATGTGGAAGGTTTAGGAACTGCATAAAAAGAGCTTGTGGTGACACCTGTCCTCAATGTCCTACCAGGAGGTCACCATAAATCAACTTACTACAGAAACTGATTTTAGACAGAAAGGAAATGAAATTGAACTGAGTACAATGGGTATTTTAAACTAGTCTCTTAGGATGGAAGTTTGCCTGTTGGCAATGCTGTAGTTGTGGATATTACAAATGAAATATTCTGAATGTGGAGGCTTTGGCACTATGTATGACTATCCTTGATACCAGGTAGAGGAATAAGAAAGGGAGGGAACCATCCTGCTATTATCTTGTTAACATTCCTGACAAGTGCACTAAGGACACTGGAAAAGCACCAAACTGCTAATGCTGCCATGTGAGCAATAAGACATGCCAAGTTCTGAAAAACACCTCCCTCAGGGGAGCAACTGAAAGCTGTTTACAATAGATCAGAAACTCCTGTCTGAGATTTATCAGCGACTGTCACAGGTGAGAAGTGTTTACTAACAAAGCCAGAACAAGTGACAGAGAAGGTGATGACTCCTTCAGGATGCTCAGCCTTTGGAATAATTCATCTTTTAGCAGCCATGGCAAGTCCCAAACTGGAGCTTTCAGCAGGCAGCTGGGTCACAGCAAAAGCATTCCCTTCCCTGGGCAGATCTAATCTAGCCCAACTGTATTGCAGCTGCCCTGAGGCAGTGAGAGAAATGGAAAATGAATCAAAGTGGATCTGATTCTGACTTCCATGAGAGCACCACAGAGATTCATTTCCCTGTATTCGATCTGACTAGATTAGATTAAAAGTTCTTTACTGTAAGGATGGTGAGGCCTTGGCACAGCTTGCCCAGAGAAGCTGTGGATACCCTTGGAAGTATTCAAGGCCAGGCTGGATGGGGCTTGGAGCAACCTGTCCCAGTGAAGGAGTTCCTGCCCTTGGCAGAGGCGGTGGAACAAGGTGATCTTTAAGGCCTCTTCCAAACCAATCCATTTTGGAATGAAACTCTGGGAAACAACTTTCTTTAATTGCATGAAGAAACCAAGAGCTTTGCCTACCTAAGGCTCTGTATCAGCTGTACTATACAACCAACAGAAATATCATTTTTCTATTCTGCTCTCACAGTTCATAAATTTTACTCTAAGAATTGAATGAAAATTACAGTTGGTAACTAATGAAGGAGAACTGAGAAATCCCTAAAAGAAGCCAGGAATTTTTTGATAGATATCTCATCATATTATATTTTGACTGCTTAACCAGCTGTTCTTTTTTTAAATAAACCCTTCATTCCACGTTTGCTGCAGTACATCACAATTTTATCGAGATTCCGGAGAGTTTATCCTTCTACTTTTGGAAGCATCTTTTAGGCCTTGCCAAGTATTTTCCAGGAAAGCTGACTGCAAGTGCACTTGTCTTCTTAAATTGAACGCCCACTCCCATTTGCAAGCAGATTTCTTTAGAGACAATCAAAAGCATGCAGACCTCAGCCCCTCCTTTCTTTAGGCCTCTAGGAGCCAGAAACATGTCACACTTTCACATATTATCAAATATGCGATAGGCTCTATCACGTATTTGCATCAATCTCAACACAGTAAACCTTGTATCCTCACCACACCAACATATACTGCTCATTACAAAAATTAACAGGTCAATGAGCAGGAGGGGGGATCATTATCAGCTCTGATGGATGGGTAGCAGTTCTTGTCTGCTGATACCCTGTGCCACAAACGACATCATAAAGATTGACCACATTTCTTTCCTGTGGCCGCATATTAAGTTTTCCAGCTTAAAGTCTGTTATAACATAAATATTCATCAAAAGCAGGCTAAAGGAAGACAGGATAAGAATAGAGTGTGACTACATCAAAAGGTATTTCCAAATAAACTGTTTTTTTATATATATATTTTTCAGTTATTAAGATCAATATGGGTCTTTTCTTGTGGTCTAGATCACAGGGCCTTAACAAATGCAGATAGCCCTCCCTTTTCTGACTCTCTGTTCTGACTGCAAGCACTTTGGGAAATAGATGACCTTTACTGAATAGCTTTATAAAGAACCAAAGCTGCTCTCTAATCTCCATTGCTGTTTATGTGCTCTGGTCTAAGGTGTGCTAGATAAAAAAATCGACCTGTGTATTCACACCTGGATCTTCACAGCAGAGTCATTAAGAAGTTTCTCAGCAATACTTACATTTAAAGGCTTAAAACACTGTTCATGCTGAAATGGGGAGCAAAGCTTATGCATCCAAAGGAGATTGCTTTATTGTAGAAATCACACCCTTTTTATACCTTTAATCTCTACCTGACATAACTGAAATCAAACCAAGACCTAAAAGATTTTAACAGAAGAAGGGCACCCATTGGCTGACTCAGCTGCAGTGCTGCTGTCCACACATTCTACCATCCAATCAGCTTCCTGCTCATGTGCTGTCCATGCGTTCTACCATCCAATCAGTTTCCTGCTCATTCCTGGCCACGCGTTCTACTATCCAATCAGCTTCTTGGCCACGTATTCTACCATCCAATCAGCTTCCTGCTCATGTGCTGTCCACGTGTTCTGCCATCCAATCAGCTTCCTGCTCATGTGTTGTCCCTGCATTCCTCAGCCAATCAGGATCTCAGTTCCAGCTGTCACTCAGCTGATTCTCTCCCCACTCCTATCTCCTCTCAGGCCTCAGCTGATTTCCAGTGTGCGGCCTGCGGCTGTGCCTTTCCACAGGGCCTTCTGCTGAGCGTAAGCTGGAACCACTTTGACAATTATAACCCCACATCCCACATCTTCCACTGGAACTCCTCCAGGTGTCTCGAGGTTACAAAAGACTCTGATAACCGGCAGTTTGCAAATGGTAGCCTGCAGCCATAACAAAAGGCTTGCGTGATTTCTTGATTTTGTTCAAGAGGTGGGAGAGTAAAGCAATAAATATGCAATGTGCTTCCTCTGTGGAAAAGAAAGCGCAAAACCACAACAAACAGGAACAGACAACAACATTTGGAGATAACACTGCTAAAATAGAGACAAGTTGCAGCCTGAGGGCATTAACCTGCCTTCCCTTAAACTTCTGCTGTGTACAATAATTGCCTACAGGATCCGTTTTGCCGAACTTTTTAGCATCCAATGATTATTAGATGGACCACATCAAACCAACGATGACCAAAGGAACTTTTATACTTTCTTCCACCTTGGCTTTCCCTGCACCATAAATGAAATCAACTTGTACCATCCATCTTTTATAAACTTACCACTTTCCCCTCCATGTAATTTATGTATTGCACCAGGATTTTCTTTATTTATTTTCCCCTCCGGTAAGTTTAGAAGCGCTTTACAAAAGGAAGAGGCAAAGGAATAAAAGAGTGGCATCTGAGAAAGCAATAATAAAACTGGGTGGCAGCTGGAAAAAAAATAATCACAAAAATTAGGCAAGATTTATAGCTACTGAAAGAGAACGTGACTCCACTGACACCAACAATCTAAGAAATGTGTGCAGATATGCATTTTTCTCTTATACTGCCATTCACAGCAGCAGCACTGCTAAAGGAATCTCCTGACTTTCCACTAACACAGTGCAATTCTGTTTCTCTCATACTACCAAATACATTTATATCTAAATCATAGAATTCATTCCTTTATATTTCACTTTCTGACACATAGTCATGGCTGATTCCCAGAGTTACTTCTTCTCTCAGCAAAAACCATATTAATATCCCTGCAAGTGAATATCTAGTGAATTTATTATAAAAGGAAATGGTTAGACACATACAAACCTCAGAGCAATTGAATCCATGCATCAAAATACTTACAGTGCTGAATAAACTGAAAATGGAATGTGTGATACAGATCTGTGTTTGGAATAGAAGCAAAGAAAGTCATTCAAGTAGTTTTGCTATCACAAATTAAAGTACTTAAGATTTCTTAATTTGAAGCTATAAAAAAATCCTTCCTGTGGGCACTGCAGAGCAGTACATTTCTTATAATTATAATAAGCAGCTTGAAGTTCTATCAAATCAGATTTGTTTTGGGTTTCTTTTGTCATTAGTTTTTTTTTTTCCCCCAATCAAATTAGAAATGCAATGCATTGGAGGGGAGATAGTATGCTGAGGCTTCAGTGAAGCAGCAGAGACATGCAAAAATCTTAGTTCAGAAGTGGGATGGGCTATTGATACCAGCCATCCTGAAACAATATATCATTTACTCCTTTTGAAGATGCTTAGACTTCCCCATTTTATCACAAACTCCAAAGTGTGATCTTCTAGGATTAAGCACAAAAAAGAGGAAAAATTAATTACAAGGTTTAAAACCTTAAACTTTAATGCTTGAAATAGTTTTAGCTTTATGAAAAAGCCCCAAGCACAGTAAAGCTGAATGACTACTCACTGAGACTTTCTGAGAGACTTTCTCTGCTCCACTAAGAGCAGCTTAAATGTGCTTTTTTAGTTTTCTTTCAATGAGTCAGAAATTGTCCTTTTTATAACCTGAGGCAGCATTTACTGCTCTTTTAGGTAGTACAGCATTGTTATCTGTCTAGATATGGTGCACAAATGCCATGTCATCTACTAGGGGAGCTGTCAGCACTGTGAAGTTTGGGTTTATTTTTTACTGTAGTAAATTAGTCTTTCACACACAGGCAAATCCCAAAGCAGGGGGTCTGGCTGCACACAGGTAATTCACTCTCAGAAATCCCAGGCCAGCACAGGAGTCTGGTATCAGCAAAGCCAGTCCCACCTCATGCCTGTGATTTAATCAGGGACTAAGGGAGAAGGAGGCTTCCCCTGCTGTTTGCTCAGCTCCCACCCCTCTCCTGTCTCAGATCCCAAACCACTGCAGTAGCTCAGAGGCAGAAGTGTCACTCAGCTCCCAGGGATGGAGCTCCTGTGCTGGGCTGCATGGTGACATTGCAGGTGACATTACAGGGGCACTGCTCATATACAGGGGCTCACTATGCAGACCTGCCCATTTAAGAGAAAACTGACATGTCTTCAGGTTGCTAAAACACAGTAGATTAATAACTACAATAATTAGATAATACAGCCCTATTTTCAAAGGTGTGCAGCCACTATCTTTAAAGATAGCTGCTTGATATCTGCAAGTACTTAAAGCACTTTGAGGATTGGATTCTCAGTGCAGATCCACACAGCTCTTTGAAAAGTGGACAAACTGATAGTGAGCTCTCTGGATCCCTGGTGAGACACAAGTTCTTTTAAAAAATTGATGCCAGATGAAAAACTGGTTTTGCCTGTAAGAAAGCTCTATTGGCAAACAAGCAGGGGAAAAAAAAAAAAAAAAGTACAAAGTACATTCACAGTACAAGTACATCCTCCTGCCTGTCTTCCCAGTTCCTTCCAGAAAGCCTGAGCAATTTCCCTGTGCTCTGAGGTAACACAGCCTCATCTTAATGCAGGAATGTGAATACAACAGTGGAAATAATGGGGGTACATCCAGATAAACATTCTGGATCTGTATCAGTTCTTTGTGGATATTTTTAGCCAGTGGAAATCTATTCAACCATGTTCAAAGCAGCAGTTAATTTTGTGTTTTCTGTTATTTCTTTTTCACAATGCAACATATTTGCATAGCAGCATGAATTCTTCTGGGATTTGGTATAGAATTTTCTCCCTTCCACTTTAAATGCCTTATTGTTTGATTTTGGTTGTTGCCTTTTTTTTTTTTTTTAAGTGAGAAGCAGAAAAATTCTTGATGGCTACAATCAGTATTCTGCTACCATTATATTGATTCTTTGGCTTTTGCCTTCTTACAGAACTGTTACACCATGCAAGCAAAAGTATATTTACTGGTGACAACAGTAAACCATGTTCAAATTATAGTGCAGCATTTTTCTGATGAAGAGTTTCCCATTCAAACAACACCGAGGATTTCATAGAGCTGCTGAACCTGTGTAGAATTGCCAGACTGCAGTAGTGGCATTGCCTTTGCTCAGGACACTAGGGTGAGCTGGGGAGAGCTGAGGGTGTAAAAGTTTATGTTGAGGGTTAAATACTGGATGATTTCTGTGACTATGTAAATGCAAAATGTTAGTGAGCTCTCATTCCCATGAAATCATAACACAGCCTCAGCATCTGAACCAGTCCAGGCACAGTTTCCAACCTCCAGCTGTTTTATTCTCTAGTGCTTTTAACATTTCTACATCTGCATATGATTTTGTGTCAAGCAATTATTAAAATTATTCCTATGAAAAGGGTGCCATATAAACCGGTCCCCATTAAAAAAGTATGAGTTGTAATTTCTTCCCTGAGGAGAATTTAATGCACAAGAAAAATACAACTTCCCTGAATGTGACTTTAAAATTTATAAGGACTGGAAAGCTTTTGTCCAAGTATCTTATATTTACAACAATGTGAGCTGTTGCCCAGTGTGATTAGCACGTACCAGATCTACAGCCCTGACAGGGCTGCTTTGTTCATTTCTTAAAGGACATAAACCATCACTAACATGTGATTAACATTCTTTATCTGTATCCATTCCTGTGAAGTCACCCTGCATAAAATGCACTCAGCCACACAGATAGAGGGGCTTTAGTCTTCTATGGCATTGCATTGTAGAGGATGAGGAAAATTAAAACCCAAAATATTGATCCATGTCTGGTTTTGCATTTATACAATTCAGGGTATGAGTGCTGTAAGAGTGTTGTATTTCTTGGTATATGAATATTTAAACCAGAATAATAGCCTTTGTATGCAGAGGATTTAGTACCTGGAATTCAAATGAGAAAGCAAAATCCATTCCCATTGCATTTATTAGGTGATGAAATTGTATTGAATTATGTCAATTGCTCTTCTCTTGCTTCATTTCAAATAACATGTTCTGTTTTAAAAGGGTAAAGAAGTGTCAAATGTCCAGAACTAGCACCCACTACTGAGCAAATGGAGAGCAACAAAGTGAGTGGGCTTGAGATGCTGGTTAGCTGTCTGGAGTAGAGGTTTCAGTTATTGCCCTTTTTAACAAACATGTGAAAAGGATTTTGAAAAAACTTTCTCTGAAAAATGTCTCTTTTTGTGCAAGTATAAACTTGCCAAAGAAAACATCAATGTGGAAATAGGAACATGCAAATTTCCCATTTACACATGGAAAAAACCAGACTTTTTTTTTTTTTTGCACACTTAAAAAGTGTGTATTCCTAGGAATTGTCTCACAAAGAATGAATTTGAAGTGCAGAAACAATACTATCTGATTATAAACCATAGAGGATTAACCCTTATTGGCAATCAGCTGGGAGGATAGAATTCATTCTCACTTTCTCAGTTCACATCACTGAGAAATACATCTGCAGAAAATCAAAGCCTGTGTTGATGATGCTCTGAAAAATAGATAATTTTATTAGAGCAAATAGCTGTAAGTAGCCAAGTGATTTTCAGCCATCTACAGAAGAGGCATTCCATTTTTGAACTATGTTACTCTGCTTCTCTCCCAACCCTTTCATCAAAAATCTCATCTCAATCTACAGGAATCTTTTGCTCACTGACTGCACTTTTAAATGACCAGCAATCAAGATGGTTAAGCTACGTTACAAATCTAGCCTTCTGCTTATGGATTTTTAATTACTCTCAATTGTTCCTTCTCTTTTTTGATCCCTTATTACTTGTTTTTGCCAAACGTGATCCCGATCCAACAGCCATTCAACTCAGCAGGAGTCATTCCATTAATGAAGTTTTGATCTGTAACAGCTTCTTTCATTTGCACTACAGACTGTCAGGATCAAATCACAGCTGAATGATGTGGTAGAGCAAATTGACTCATGAGCAGTGTAAATTCTGGCTTCCAGATAACTCCTGTCCTGTTACCACCCCCATCCCATTTCCCCAGTAATTCCCATTTCCCCACAGCTCTATCACAGTAGTTCTGCCCTGCATATTCCCAGTCCCCCTGCTATTATTCTCTTCTCCCACAGCAACTCCCTCTGGTCCCCAGGCCTTTCCCTGCCACATTCTCCATCAGAGCAGCCATCCTGTCACGCTGATTGCTCTGCCCTGTGCTGTGCAGGCGAGGAGTTGGCTGAAAGGCTGTTGGTTACATGGCTGCTATAAACTCAGCTGAGAGCAAGGGAGTGCTCCCTGTTTATTTCTCACTGAAGGCTCTTTGCCATGTAGCTAGCTTTCAATTTTAACAGAATATTTAGGAGCTTAACACCTTTCAGATCTCTCTGTGCTATGACAGTAGTGGATATTTGCAAATTTGGTTGGAGTTTGCTAAAAAAATATCAAAAGCTGCTAGGAGTAAATGACTCACAGATGGACAATGTCATCACGAGTTGTGTTTCCTTAAAAAGCCAGACTAAATGTTCTCAGAACAAGGTAACAGTCTTATAAAATCACAGACCAGGTATGAATGATAGTGCACTGGCAGCCAAATCATCCATTTTCAAGAGCAGGGTCATAAAAGCAGAGTTCGTTTACTCAAGAGAAGTAATTCTGCTATGCATTTGCAATAGAGTGAGTAAAGCTCTCAAGGTTACTGAATCTGCAATGAGGGAAGACTTATTTCCAGCTCCCAGCCTGCAGGTCACTGCAATCCCAAACAAGTGATCATAGTTAAACAGCTAATCCTGTTTATTCTAGAGTTTAGCTTGAAACAGAACAGAAAATCTCAACTACCCTTGAATTTTTTTACCTGGAAACTGAACTGAACATCACTATGTAGGCTTATGTCTTTGCAAGACTGAATTGCATTCTGAAATTTGAAATGCTCAGCTTTAGGGGGAGTCATTTTTATTTTATTTTATCCACAAAGTTTACTTCCCCCTTCTGCTTTTGTATCAAAAGAAAGTGAGCTTTGCTCACCAAGAGAGCTCATGCAGAATGTCAGACCATTGTCCTCTAGCCACACATTCAACTGATGTTTACATCTGCAAGTTCCGCTGGAGAAATAAACACACTGAGCACAACGTTGCCATCAGTTAAAATACCAAGCTGCCTCTTCACAAGACAGGCCGTGCATAGCTAAGCATCAAAATATGTTCCCGGTACTGTTATTATTACGATATGACAAAGAGTGTTCACATTTTAATGATGTTATCTTCTAGAGGGATGATAATAATTTAACTTGCTTCAGTGGAGATAATAAAAATTCCTGTGCTTTTATACATCTCCCTGCTGTCAATACTGGACTTTTTCCACATATTTTTCTTTATGTGGAATGAATAACCATTTACCAAACACAAATAGCAGCTAACAAGCTGAGATAACCCCATCAAAAAATGATTACTGTAAGATCCTTGACTTTTTCCTCTCTGCCCTTCAAAGAAAAACACTTAAAAGTTAACAAACTGAATTTTCTTTTTGACAGAAACACCAAACAATGCTTGAAATGCTGCCCACATCTGTGAAACTATAGCTAATCAAATTCACGCCTGCATTGGTTGCCTGGGTAACAATCAGACAGTTGCTCCTACAAACAAACTGCAAACAGCAGAAGGAAATGTGCTCTAACTGGAAGCACCTACTTCTCTGAGCTTGAGCTTTGTAAGTTTAAGAAATAATCATATATAATATGATCTTATTCACAAGGCAGTGGATGAATGGAGGAGGGATATTATAGACTGATTGGCTCACTCAGGAGGATAGGAAGACAGGAAAGGTTGTGAGCAAATGAACATAAAAGCTCAGCTCCATTTTTATCATTCTCTCCTTTTATTCTCCCTAAGAAGCACAGCATGGCATTTGGATGTAACTATATGTCCCTGCATAAAAGGGTGATTCATTACTTCTTTTTCAGCACATAGTTGAAGTTATTGTCTACATTTTCCCCTCGCAGCACAGGCCTCCGATTGATGGGCTCCGCGTTAGGCTCCTCCTCGTGACACACAGAAGAGATGGCTCTTAGGGACATATAGAGATGTGATAGGCACTGCAAAGGCCATCGTTTCCACAGCAACGGGGATCATGCAGGAGCTCTGAGCCAAACTTCTTCTCCACCCCATTCCTCCCCCCTTAATCTGACCACACAGGTTTCCTTCTTCACGCTCACCACGGGCGCTTCCGGGGGAATCCAGCCACGTGTGGACGGGTGAATGTCCCTCACACACTGAAATGTAGGGGCTGTATAGACAAGTGTTGGCTTCGGGGCTCACATGATTTTCAAACAAGTCAAGTTTGCTAGCCTCAAGCATTCAAAAATTACGTTTTAATAGGTAAGATTTATTTATATAAAAGCTTGAGATTTGACTGAGTATCTGTGCATGATACTCATGCACAGATACTCATTAATTTAATTTGACTTCTGGGTTATAAAACTTAAGCTCGTTTTCATACTAAGGTTGGCTTGAAAGTTAGACAGGTGTTTTTCAGTGGTGTTGTTTTAAATTAAAAAAGCATAAACTGCTTCCAAAGTAAGTCAGACCCAGGAAAAAAGGACCTAACAAACAATCATTATGATAATATTCATAGTGGCATGCTATAAATTAGGCATCTTGCAGCTGTCCTGTAACACTGGTTTAAAAAAGGGAAGAAAACAGAATTGTCAAAGGGCTGCTCCTTATTGAAACCTGAATAAATTACCTGCTAAAAGTAAGTACTGCAGAGGAACATGTTCTGCAGATTCCCCACACTGCTATGTACAGGCTAAAGCCGCTAAATAGTGACTTACGTCATGAGTTGTGAGTTGGTGGGTGTAACTGCAAAACTGAAATCATCACTAAACAACAAATATAAAGATGCCAACCTGACTTCCTGGCCACAGAAGCAGAACTGGCAGAAACAAAAGTAGTGTGGGAAAGGTTCAGCAGCAGCATGGTTACTTACTTTGCCAGCAAATAAGCCCATTGCAGCAGCAAGGATTAAATGCTGGCTGCTCTTCATGGTCAGTTTTTCCACCAGATTCACAGCTCTGCTTATTTTGGGGAGTTTGTTCCACAAACTATTTATTTTTTTTTGAGCAGCAGTAGCCATCCATTACATAATGCTGGACTGGCTGTATATGGCACAGATGAACACAAACCAGCTCTGAGGTTAATGCTTTCTTCATCTTTACACTTGTCATGTGTCTCTGGTAGAGAGATTTTGTACAAAAAGGCCTCACCTCTGTGGATGGGTTTGCAGACGTGTGTGCACAGGTGCATTCTCACTCCATCTAGTGCAATCAGCTGGTAGGCAGCTCCCAAATTCCCTTAGACCCTGGTGTAATTCCAAGTCAAAGGGAGCCACTGACCATAGGATGTTTAAATTCTACCCAACAGGGACGTTCACTTTTACAACAGGAAGGTTGGTAAAGGAAAGCTTCTTGCTCCCTCAAGCTTTGAAGCAAGTATGTGACTGGGCTCTGGAGGGAAAGGGGAACTTCTGTTTCCTGGTGCCTTAGTTTAAAAAATATTTTTTAAAGTAATAGCATGTTTTTAATCAACAGAAGGTGTCCAACAACTCCTCATCTTTTTCTTCCTTCTCAGACCACAAGCTACTTATTTCTACATTAATCACATTGTAAATGGCATGCCCAGGACTGGATCATCTCCTGCAGATACTGCCAGCAATGGCCTTCCAGCTACTGCAGTTCCAGCTTTGAACAAATGTCCTGAAGCTGTTGACTCTGGTGGCTGTTGCTGATGTGTGTTTCCATATCGAGTCAGATACAGAGGAAAATGCACCACAAAAAGTTGTGAACAAGAGCAAAGAAATAACAAACGTGCCGTAATAGCAAGAACAGCCCTCAAGTCCCCAGTATTAGAGCATCCACCATATCAGCCTCTGCTGAACCTAGAGGGATTTGCTATGTAAGATGAAGAAACTGTCATACGTACTTACAGAAATCAGTAACATACTGAAGTATTAGAATTTTTAAGGACTGCTATTTGTAATCTGTTTTTTATTCCAACTCTGGAAAAATTGTGGGCAATCTTCAATTTCATAAAAATTTTCCCTACAGGCTTTTACATACATATCAACCTGAAGCAGATTATCTGTTTTTCAGCACTGAAAAATGAGATTCTTCCCAGTGGTTTAGCAATAAACACTTAGAAATTATTTTAAGTTTATTGCAAAGCAAAACACTTTAGTGTAGTTTGAAGAACACTTTCTTCCCGAGAAATATATTTTTTATTCATTCCCTACCTCCATAGTGTGGTTTTCCAGTTCTAGAAAAAAGCCAACAGGTCATGATGATATTGATGTACTCTTTGGGAATGCATCAGGGAAATGAAAGTTGCCTATTGTGACTTTTTTTCATGAGAGGCCTGGATTTTTTTGTTTGTACATCTTTACTTATTGTTGAGACATTTTATAGTGTTAGCTGGGCAGAGTTTCTAAACATATCTTGAAACCGAATGGTTAAAATGAATGAATGAATGGGTGAATGAATGGGTGAATGAATGGGTGAATGAATGAATGAATGAATAAGACATTAACCTAGGAAGAAGAAACTGAGGCAGAATTTGTGTACTCTGAAGCAATACAGAAAGAAAAAGATGCCACTAGAGTCCTAGAACTCATCATAGTGTCTGAGATGAAAAAAATCTCAACATAACATATTAGTGCTACATTAAAGATACCTTTAGGAAACTGCCTTATGTCAGGAATTGTGTTAAGAGATAGCATCAATAAGGAGATGGGATACAGATAAACGATCAAAGGCATGATACATGCACATAAAGTTTTATTTTTAAAATCATATTTTTGTGGGACAGTTTACTATTTGCACTTACAATAAGGGACATTTAGTACCAATATTACAAGTTTTCTAAACCAATTAACTCATAACCTGATACAATATTCTTTATGAATACAAGCTTCTGTCAGCAATTAGTTGCCCCCCTCACACCTGACTTTAAATACGAAATTGGGCCATCAAAATCTGCCATGGCCATCCAAGCCACAAACCCACAGCCATCCATCTCTACTGTAGTCACAACAACTGAAAGTAGAACTTACCACAGAAAACTATTTCATAAAGGTGGAAGAGCATTACTTTTACCTTTTATCTCCTGCACATATGTCCCAGGGAGATTTCACAATCTGTGCTTCCCATTTCTGGAAACAACGCACTTTACTTTGTAAACACTGGTCATATGCATCACTTAGGTATCCGTGGTTACATAGATGTAAAGAGCTCTTGAATTACATCCTACTTGTTTTTCAGCTTCTGTGCCTGTGAGGGTTGCTGCAGCAGCAAAAACCGTGGGTCTGAACCAGAGTCTACCAAGGCTGACAAGGAGATGACATTAAATATAAATCTGAATATCTGAATAAATTAGGCAGCTGGTGCAACCCTAGTTGGTCTTAATTTATATGCAGAGTAAGCAAGGAAAGAGAAGGAGGCATTAGAAACTACAAAGCGCTTTCCAAGCCCACATCATCTTTCCTTGGTATCAGGTGGAAAAACCTGTTACTTGTCCTTCCAGAACACTGTGCTTCCATGGACCCAGTGACACTGCAGAGCCTGGATCCACTGGAAAGGTCATCCTGGGGCCACTCAGGTCAGTGCAGCTCTGCTGGTCCCACCAGATGCAGGAGAGGCTACCAGAGTGTCTCCACGCCAAGCCTACTTTTCCCATCCCCACGGTGAAGCAGGGCTAGGAACATCCTCAGCCTCCTTGCCAGGGGCATTCCCCAATACACATCCAATGAAATTCAGGGAGATGTTCACTGCTGCCCTTTAAGTGGGTACAAAGACTGGCATTCCATAGATACCCTTTGCTGCTCTCTGGGTTAAACAAAGAAACTTCACCATTCACATACCAGAGTTAATTACCCAAAAAGAATAAAGTGCTGTTCAAGAAGCTGAAATTCACTCTTTTTACAGAGGTTAATACATGCAGTGGCTCATAGCATTCCAAGCTATGTTGTTCTAAAAATGAAGGTGATCTGTGTTCTGCTACCACATTTTGAAAATTGCTGTTTAGTCTTGGATCAGAGAAGAGCTTGATGACACCTTGCTGTAAGAATAAAATGATAGATTTGGGTCTGCATTTTACAGTCCCACAACACTGATCTTTGATATTTCTTAGGCAAACTTTCTATTTGAGGTTTGGAGATGGTTTTATTGTTTTTTCTCTCCTAGAAAAGGTTTCTTGCTCATATTCAACCTCTGAAATCTCTTGCGTACTTCCTGTCATACTATTTTTCAAAAACAGCATTTGATCTTGTGAAATAAATAATATGAATATTTCATGAGAAAGACATTTTAAAGCCCAAATTCCACCCTTCCTTTCTTCCTCCTACTATTTTTTTGTTTGGCATTAAAGCTATTATAAACAGGAGCATTTTGGTAACAAGCTAGACTGCCTGTGGGGAGCAGGAGTATCATCGGTTGGAGAAGCAAAACCACACACAGAAAAAGACCCCTTAAATATAACACTGGAACAATAAATACTACCAGGACAGTATTGATTCAGCATACTCTTGAAATATGTTAAAGCTTTTAATTCCATGGTCTCTCACTCTTTTTCCTTAAGACCATATTACATTAAGTCACAGACCTTTCTGAGACCTTGTACTAGAGCATTTGAATGTGACTGCCAGCATTAGCAACATTCTCAGGTTTGTAAACAAAAAACCAAAAATACTGTAAAAATATATCTTCACAAATCTGTAACATTCTCAGGTTTGTAAACAAAAAACCAAAAATACTGTAAAAATATATCTTCACAAATCTGTGTTCCTAAGTTAGCAATTTGTTTCATTAATATATTTTATAAGCCACTATTAAATACTTTTTAAAAGTATGTGACGTTGCAAAACCTTAAACTTACGGCATTGTTTCATGAGTGACAGACAGTGGTGATAATTTTATACCAAATTCTAATGTATTAACATCAGTTTTCAGAATCTTTCAATCCCAAAGCATGTCTGGCTGCTCTTTAATAAAAGGGAGTGGTTTTAAGGATCCATGAACAGTTTGTGTCTCCACTGGCTCATCAGGAATGCCACCAGAAGAGGAGCACACATCTGTTTTGAACACCCTACAGCACAGAGGGTGATAAGCTAGAAAAAGAGCTCACTGTACACAGCCCAGGCCCAGCTGTTTCTTGGTGACAAATGGGGGAAAGCTGATGCTCCTCAGTTCTGTTCCTTGCAGGTGATTGACATAGCACCGTGGATGAATAGTTGGGGTGACACTCCTTGCAGAGAGGCTTGTGCTCTCACCTGGTCAGTCTCCAAATCTACAGACTCCCAGGGAACATCTAGTGGCCTGCAACCACTTAACTCTCCCCTCACTCGCTTTGGAATCCACCTTTCATCAGGCTTCCTGCTCTTACAGCTCTCCTGAAGTCATGGAAGAACACCAAGGTAAATTAGCCCATCTGTTTTCATCTGGCAGGCATTCAGCAAGACACAGTTTAACAAAGGACTTAAATAAATGCTTAACCTTAAGCTCGCTATTAAGGACCTAAGGAAATACTTTCCTGGATTGAGAACAAAAACTACTGAAAAATGAAGATGTTCGTTGTCTGCAGCACAGAGGCCTGACAACAGAGAGAGAGAACTGCTTTCAGGATTGCCAAGATCTGTGTGTGTGGGATGGGACAGTCAGTGGAGATGGTGGCCATGTGTGACCACAGAGCAGGACACGGACTGTGGAGCTTTCACCTGCCATCTTCATGAAAAAAAAATAAAAAATAGGGGGAGGATTGCACAGCACTGCTTTTTGACAGTGTTTAAGCTCTACTGGCTTGTGTCTTGGGCCATATCACCCTCCAGATATTAGAGTAGCACAAGTCCCAGGGAGGCACAGCAGCAAAGACCTGAATTCCCAGGGATGCAGAGATAGTTGTGCCGCCCATAGGTGCAGGGGGCAGTGCCCTGTGCTGTCACCTCACACAGCCATGGGAGCTAGAAACAAACAGCTCAAATTCTCTGTGATGATGGGGGTAGTGAAGATCCAGGTGGAAGTTTCTCTACAGGTTCATAATAGCTCTCCCTTTGCAATACAAATACTGCCTGCAGGTGTTTACTCCTGCCTTTTTGCAAACTAAAATGAGACAACACGTTTGCACAAGACTAATCTCTGCATAATGCATTTTACCTCCTGCAAACTGCTTATAAATGTAATTATTTTTCAAAAGACTGAGAAATCTGCCAGATCTTTATATATAGGTCCTTGTGGATGACACAATCCATCACCTTTGCAATAAAGAACCATACAAAATGAAATATTTAATAGGTGATAAATTAAATATTAACGGCCAATGCATCACAGACATCTCCAAATGTTTACATGAGTATGAAAGTTAGAGTGCTTATTTTTGTAGCAGCTCAGTCTGTTCCCACCTATCTTGCCTGCTAACTGCTTCATAGGCCTCTAAGCAATCTCATGGCCCCAAAGTCACCTCTAAGTAAAAACTCCAGCTCCAGAAGTTCAAACCCAAGTTATTTCAGTTCCTCCTTCTGCATCCCTCAAATATCCCCCTACCTTACCACAGGCTTCTGGGCATCTTGGCTTGCCTGTGTCTGTCTCCATTAGCCACACTGAGTCATGGTGGCACAAACAGAAATCATTTACCCCTGCTTTCGTTCACACAAGAACAAACCCAGCATCTTCCTCTGCTGGGGAATCTGCAGAGGTTCTGTGGGAAGTTTTTGGCAAAGGAGGGGAGGCTGAGGAGGCTGCTCAGACAGCTGGAAGCTGCTGTGTGAAGAGCAAAGCATCCTGCTGGGGTAATTAGAGAGCTCCTACCAGATTTATTCCAAGATCAAGGCCCTAAACTTATTTACTTATTTAACTCCCATCTCTTTGAAAAGCTGCACTTAAAATACCAGACTGCAGGAGAAGCACTCTGGCAACTTGAGAGGGGAGTTTTGAAAAATTCAAAATTTTCCTCCCCAAAATTAGTTTGCTGACAAAGACCATTATGTTGTCTTGGACAGATGCTGTCTATCGTGAAAAACAGTGGGGTTTTAAATCCTACAGTTTTTTTCTCAACACCTGAAAAAGATCCCCATTGTGGCAG